ACTTCACTCTCACCTATCCAACAATAAAGAGTTTCAATCTGTTTTTTGCCCCCACCATAGCACCGAAACAGCTCTAATAAAAATAACTAATGACCTTCTTCTTGCTGCTGACTCTGCTCTTCTGTTTATCCTCATTTTACTGGATCTAAGTTCTGCCTTCGACACAATCTGTCATTCTATCCTCCTCAACAGACTAACCTCCATTGGCATCTCAGGTACTCCGTTAGACTGGTTCAAATCATATCTCTCTGACCGCACTCAATTCATTCAGCTCAAATCCTTTCGTTCCCAGTCTTACCCCGTCTCCACGGGTGTCCCCCAAGGCTCTGTCCTCGGACCCCTCCTCTTCATCATTTACCTCCTTCCTGTAGGTCACATCTTCCGTAAATTCAGTGTCCATTTCCACTGTTATGCTGATGACACACAGCTCTACCTATCAACAAAACCAAACTCCACCCACCCACCCTCCATCCTCACCCACCGTCTCAATGAGCTAAATCACTGGTTTTCCAACAACTTTCTACAACTAAACAGTGACAAAACAGAAATCATTCTTGTCGGTACCAAAAACTCTCTTTCAAAATCAGAAAATCTTCTCATCCCCCCTAACAACTCTCTGCTATCCCCCTCGCCTCAGGTCAAGAGTCTTGATGTCATCCTCGACACCACTCTCTCCTTCACTTCACACATCAACAATATCACTCGGTCTGCCTATTTCCATCTCCGAAATATTAACCATCTCTGCCCTTCTCTCACACCCCGCTCCACATCCATCCTTGTTCACAGTCTTGTGACTTCTCGGATTGACTACTGCAACTCCCTTCTTTATGGCCTCCCCAACAAATCTCTCCAGAAGCTACAATTGGTCCAGAACTCAGCTGCCCATGTCATCATTCAAACCTCCTCCTATAACCACATCACTCCAGTCCTGCAGCAGCTCCACTGGCCCCCGGTTAAATCACGCATCATCTTCAAAATTCTTCTTCTCACTTTTAAAGCTATCCACAACCTGTACCTATCTGACCTCCTACACATCTCCATCCCCTCTCGCTCTCTCAGATCCTCCTCTTCACACCTCCATGTACCCTCTGCCCGCCTCTCCACCATGGGGAGCAGGGCCTTCACCTGCTCTGCCCCTCATCTCTGGAACTCTCTACCCCCTGACTTAAGAAACACCACCTCTCTTTCTCTATTCAAGACTGCTCTGAAAACACATCTCTTTAGACTCGCTTATCCTTTACTTTGCTGTATTTTATATTCTTTATGTATTTTATATTCTTTATGTATTTTATAATCTGTATTTTATATTCTTTATTCCTGTTGATCTTTGTTTTTACTGTAAAGTGTCCTTGGGTGTCATGAAAGGCGCTTTTTAAATAAAATGATTATTATTATATATATATATGTATATATGTATATATATATGTATATATATATATATACATACATATATATATATACATACATATATATATATTATATATATATATATAAATGGTTACCAGTAGCTGTCAAAATATTTGGCAATGCAGCCATGTGACTTAAGCTCAAGCACAAAAGACGATAAAACCAGTAATCTGATGTTCTTGCAAAAGTCATATCAAAATTTATTAAGCACTTTACAAAGAACAGGTCATCACAAACAAAACAATAATTTTCTTATAAATTAAACCCACCAAAATCTATCATTTGTCTTAGAATGCATCCAGTATTCACATTTTTAAAACAAATAAAAATCATTTCAAGGGTAGCAGTTGACACGTTCACATGTGCAAAAGTGGTCTCAGTTTGACTAAATGATGCAACTCTGACTCATCCTGGACATGAGAAGAAAATGAATTTTGATCAAGATTAAAACAAAGAAAAGACAAACCGATTAAATTTGGCTCTGGGTAAACACTTCCTCTCAGCATCACACAGAGCATGACAGTAGTGTTCCTGAAGTCTGAATTTGTTTTATATCCATCTTTCATAAGTCTGCTGGAGCTGAGCCAAAGTCTGCATGGCAGCTATTTTCAGTTGCCTTGATAACAGCGACGGCCACGAGGAGGGCTGTGAAATGTTCAGAGGTAATGAATACTGAAATACTAAAACACACACACACCATCCATTCACCCACAGGCCCAGGACGGTTCCATCAGGAGTCCTCAGTGGAGACGTCCAGCTTCCTCTGAGGAACAGATACAGTTTTGGTGGCTGGGAGTCCGTTGGTGGTTACCATGGCAGCCAGAGGTGAGACAGGGACCGGCGTGTGAAAGAAGCTGTGCTGGGGGAGTCTGGTCCCTTTGGGGGTCGTCATCAGAGGCTGGACAACAGACAGAAGTCACGTAAAGTGCTAAAGTTTGACCAACATATATTTTTAGTTCAAATGTTTTATACTGAAACAATAATGAGTAAAATATTTGCTCCAAAGATTTTTAAAAGCCCTGAACTTTCTGCACCAAATTAGTTCAAAACAAACTGTGACCCGTCTGATTTCCTAACACTAATGAATCAACTAAAATATTTAAATACTGAATATGGAAGGGGCTAGCAAATTCAGAGGTGGCATTTAAAAAATATATTTTTTATAGATTATTGTCGTTATAAACTACATCTATTTATTAACTGCTAAGTTTAAAATGTATTGATAGATTTCACTGAAAACTTCTCATCAATGCAAAAACTCAAAGCCCTAAACGGGTTTAAACATTCTCTGAATAGTGAAAATGTAGAAGTAATGAACTTGTACCTGCTGCACACTGATCAGGGTCACCTGCTGTCCAGGCACTGTGTGCTGCACGGACACGGGGGACACAGGTTTGATGAACACCATCCCTCTCTGCTGCAGCGCGTTGCTTTGTTCTGCAGTCTGTGGAGCTGCGAAGGCGTTTCCAGAGCTGGAGATCAGGCCGAGATTCTGCAGGGTGAAGTTCAAGATGGCGGGACTCGGGCTGTAGAGGCGGTGCGAGTGCTGGGTGGCGTGCGGAGAGGCAGCTGCAGGTCTGTTTAGATGAAGGTTGGTGGGCGTCACCTCCTGGGCTGAGGCAACAGGTCTGGAGCCTGTTGACAAAAATAACAAAACATCAGACAAACCCACAACACAGCTCTACCCCAAGTAATACAAGTATATAATTGTACACACATACATATATTCCTTTTGGCTGCTCCCTTTTGCAGGGGTCCCCACAGAGAGTGAACTCACTGATTCAGCAGCTGTTTTACGTTAAGACGCTCTGACGCAACAGATGGAACCTGCAGCCTCAGGACCACAAGTCCACGGCACTGATCATGGAGCTTTTAAAGCAGGCCTATCATAAAGTATATACCGTAGTTTTCGCTGTATAAGTC